TCCCGTGGCTGGTAGCCGGTGCCCAGCCCCAGGGCCCAGCCTGTCCCTCGCCTCAACTCACCTCCTTGGGCAGCAGGGAAATGAAGTCTCTCTGGAACTGGGGTTCAATGACCTGCATCATGTACTTGATCTGGGAGGGCTCGCAGCGATCAATGAGCTCATCCAGAGCAAGCAGCTTCTCTGGGCCACTCCAGCGCTGAGGACGGGGACATCAGCCACGATGCCTGCACCCGCGGCAGGCCCTGACAGGCTCCCCCACGGCTCTGCGCAGTGCCGATGCCCCCACCCCAACCCTAGCAGGGACAGCAGCCAGCACGGGCAAGGCACAAAGCCGGGCCTCTGGAGCAGGCCAGGGCTCTGCTGCCCAGATCCCAAGACAGAGGAGCCCCAGAGTCAGGGTCAGGAGCTCCACAAGTCACATGAGGTGGAACGCAGGGTGCTGCATGATGGTGGACAAAGCAACACCATTCCAGGATGAAGGGGGGCAAGAAAAAGGCTAACACCACTTCTGTGCTCCTTTACCCTAGGCAAAAACTCACTAAAAATCCACCATGGGACCCAAACGCCTGCCTGCGGTGGCCTTCACGCAGACAGGCTTCCCTAGGGCTTGGCTGCCCTCCTGCCTGCCCGTCGAACCCAAAGCTTCCCAGTGCCCCGAGGCGAGCCCCCTGGCAAGGCTCCCGAGCCTACCTGGAAGGTGCGGAGCCAGTCCTGCAGCTCGGGCGGAGGGGCGACCGAGGGGATGCGGCGGCGCCGTGCCTGGCCCGCTTTGGCGTTGCGCAGGTCCCCAAAGGTGGTGGTGGGACTGGGCATGCAGGGACCCAGCGTCCTGGACCACAGCCGGGGAGAGACCGAAGCAAAGGTGAGGCATGCCAAATGCTCTGGGCCACACTGCGCAAACAGTTCTCAGGACAGGGGTCCAAACCACCAGCTGCGAGCCTCCCGCCTGAGCCAACCCCCTTCCCATCACGTCCACCACCACCGCCGCAGCCACGCGGGCAGCCCCCGTAGCCCTGCTCTACAGAACGACAGTCACAGACTGGTTGAGGCTGGAGGCACCTGCGGAGGTCGCTTGGCCCAACCCCCTGCTCAGGCAGGAGCACCCAGACGGCTTTTGTACCTCGGCAGGACTGAGGGACGGGGCTGGTAGAAGGGGCTCTTCCCACCCCCCAGGCCAGCTCGCGGCGCAGCATGCAGGGCACTCACCTGCTGTACTCAGAGCCCTTGCACAGCTTTTTACCCGGGGAAAGGGCCCTCCCATCCAGGCCGTTCTCCGATTTCCGCTTCATCTGCAAGGAGGCAAGTGAAAGCAGCTGGAGCGAGCCTGCTGCACACGTTCTGGGTCACTGAAGTTCTGCCAAAAGTGGCAGAGGAGGAGACCCAGCCCAGCAAGTCTTCCAAGGCCACACTCAAGGGGACCTGCAGAGGGGAGCTGAAGGCCACCTGAGCTCTAGAGCTGGCACATTTCTGTGGGAGAATTGGAACTTGGTCCTTCCAAGAGGAATATCAGACCTGATGGGGAAAAGCCAGCAAAAGAGCTGCACAGGGACAAAACCAGGGGCAGAGAAAACCTGTTGGTACCTCTGCTCGGCCCTGCTCTAGGCAGGACTCAACATGGAGCAAGCAGACCCACAGCCTGGGCGGGGAACTGGGCATGCCAATGCCTCCGCGCAGACCAGCCCTACAGCTGGGCCTTTCGAGCTGCGCTTGACAGCTACGGGGAGCTGTGCCAGGATGCGTGGCAGACCGAACCCTGACACGGTCGCACCAAAGGGGACCTTGCATCCTTCTAACGCCGCGCAAGAGGTGCAGGGTTAAGAGCAAGTGGGGGGAGAGTGGGGCGGCTACCAGATGGGCCGGCCAGCCGCTAGAAGGCGAGCATGGGGCTCCCCCAACCCAGGCAGGGAGCTGGGGGCTCCCTCCCTCCAGTAACTGGCCCGGGCACCAGCTGTAGCCCTGTGCTCAGGGCTGGCCAGGGCTTCTCGCTACAATGCCCACGTCCCACAGAAACCTCCCCGAGGCCTTTGCCTGACCCCCCGCAGACCCCTGCTGCCCCAATTCAAGCTCTGCACTGACACAGGACCCCAGCGCAGGACAGGGTGGCTCCACCGGGGACAGGCATGGCTGGGGACTGCCAGCGCCACTCGGACAGGCGGGAACGGTGCCTCCTTCCCCCAGCCCTAACAGCCAGGAGGGCCGAGGACGACTGCTGAGCAGCACCTGCAGCGCGGAGCTCCCAGCCCAGCCAGCACCCAGCTGACAACCCTGAGCTGCCCGGCTGGCCCACAGCACCCACCACGTCCTGGGGTGGCAGCAATGACAGACACATGCACCACGCAGCAGGACCTCGCAGTGCTGTGGCAGCCCGTGACCGGCCCTGGCACAGCAAACGGTGGGTGCCTGTAGGTTCTGAGGCCACCAGCTACCAGGACAGGACCACAGGCAAGGTGCCAGCACCAGCTCCTGTTGGGCAGCCACCAACCAGACGGGCAGCACTGCTCTTTGGGGCAAAGCCCCCTCCTGGGGCCATGCTCCCAGGGGGTTACCTTGGGCCGCACGTGACGGAGGAGGCCACCATCCTCTGTCCGCTGCAGGTAGTCTATCCAGCGCTCTCCAATGGTGTAATAGAAGTAGACGTTGCTGCCATCCTCCCCTTCCTCGCTGTAGCAGCTCCCCTCTTCCTCTTCTTCCTCCTCCTCCTCCTCCTGCTCCCCGCAGACTGTGGAGCTGAGTCGCTCCGGCGCCCCTCGCCCACTGGAGCCATCAGCCTCAGGTCCTGACCCAGGGCTCCCTTTCGCAGAGTGTGCCGGCTCCCAGGGGCCTGAAACGTCCTCCTCCTCCTCAGGCACCACCTGCAATACAGGGAGAGGCAGGGTCAGGCCTGTCTGCTGCAGCTCTGTGCCCCAGCCCTCACTCAGGGTGCTGGGTGACATGCTGGGGAGTGGAGGGGGCTGCCGGTCAGAGCAGTGGCCCGAGGAATATGAGGGCTTCCCTGTGCAGTACGGAAGAGGTGGCAATGAGCTAAGCAGAGCCAAGGACAAGGAGAGGGGAGCAGGCTCCTGAGCTAAGGTGCTCTCTGGGGTCAGGGGGCAGCTACGGCCAAGCACAACCTGGGGACAGGTCCCATCCCCCCCCAGCCCCACAGGGAAGCACAGCGGCAACGTGACCAAGTTACACGGCAGCCAGCAACTCTACGATGAAGACACAGTTGCTGCAGAAGCATCCCTGGTGCTGAACAAGGCCAAGCCCGCCAGCCCCAGCCCCACCGCTGCACGGCGGCCTGCCTCCCTGCCTGCGGCAGGGAGCTCTCTGCCCTTCGTTCATCAGGGCAGGGAGCAGAGCTGCTGCACGGCGGGCTGCCATGCCCAGGCAGGGCCCCAGCATGGAAAGGAGATGGGCGCTGTGTGCGCAGAGGCCCCATCACCCTCCAGCCAAGCTGACCAGGAGCAACCATCACTGGAGAGGTGGCGAGCAGTGCGTGCCCACCTAATGACCCACACCGCTCCTCCCCAAAGTGAGCAACACTGTGAATAGCACCACCAAAAAAGCCCAGACCAGAGGCACTCGGTAATTACTTGGAGGAAGCGGAACACCCCCCTGTATCACGTGGGAATGATGAACTGTTTCCCAACACGCCAATATAACACCCCGATCAGCAGCCTGGGGTAATCAGCACCCCGGAGTCCTTGGGAGTAGTACAGGAGACTACTGCCCACAACAATTATTTTTGGTAAATCTTGGAATACAGGAGGAACTGCAGAGGCCAGGAGGGTGTGAAAGCTGTGCCAAAACCAGGGAAGGCAGGAGAAGCCCCAGTCTGACACCCAGCAGGAGAGAGGCCTGTGCAGGATTCAATGGGTAAAAGGCAAACGACAGGGATGTGCTTTGCACCGCTGATGAGACCATATGAAAATGGCTCTTTTCAAACAAAGTTGAGTTTATTCCTCGAGGTGTTACATTTGGTTGAAAAAAGCAATTACATGAATCACACTGATGAGACGCACACTTCTAAGCATCTGGCCGGGGCACAGGCTTCTGACGAATGCACTGGCATGCCACAGCCCGAGGGGCTGTTGGATGGGATGGCTTGGACCAGAAAGAAACCAGCCAAGAATTCCAGCCCACAGATCTCCAAACCTACCTGTTAATGGGAAACTGCAGATCTTCTGCCAATGGGCCTAGTGCAAACCCATAAGGGGTGTGTGCGGGAAAAACCACAGCAGTTGGTATTGACTTTGTTCATAACGTGGAAGTGGATAAAATCGTTCCTGATTACGTTTCAAGACTGGCCCTGGGGTAGGCAGCAAGGGCAGGACAGACACACGGTGCCATCTGCATCGTAAGCTGGGCTCACCCAAATGAAGTGCACTCCAGTACACCCAGAGGCAACGTTCCCCAACTACGGGCAGGGAGAGCAGGGCCAGCCACGCACCAGGGACCACGCATCCCGCGAGGCGGTAACTGAACAGCACCGAGGGGGGTCGCACTCCAAGCTCCTGGCTCGCAGATTCAAACAGGGAAGAAGCGCGAGCAGGAAAGCAGTGCTACCCCCGTGCCGCCCTAAACGCTTGAGTCCTCCCATGCCCAAGCCACGTTTTTAAACAGAACGCTTAAAACTTGAAGATATTGCTCAGTCACCTCCCCCAGACGATTCAAAACCTGGAGGAAGTATTTTGTAGAAGGAAAGAAAGGGAGAGGCAATTTGGTCACAACACAGAAATACACCCGGGGAAGGAAAAATTCTGCAGCTTTACAGGGCTCCCGCCGAGCACTGCAACGCTTTCTGCAGGTAGGGGTACATTTACATCTCTACATTTAGAAATCAGGCCCCCGTGCATGTGTGCTTGAGCGCCGATCTCTGGACAGATCCCCCAGATCAAAGGCAGACGGGTCACTCCTTCACACCACCCAGTCAGACCGGACCCAGTTTGGCCAGTGGGCCTGGAACAGGGTTGGTCTCTCGGGCAGAGAGGCAGCAGCCAGATGAGAAGGTAGGACACAACAGCCCGTCCAGAAACGCCTTCTCAGGAGGGAGCACCAAACCCGGGCTCCTCAAGCACCTCCTGTGGCCTAGAGGACTGGGGTCATGCCTAGGCCTCAGATGATAACAAACCCCGGGATGATCGCCTAGGCAGTAAGACACCTCCCAGCGTCCACCCTCCCCTGCCCAAGCAGCGCACAGGTGCTTGGCAGGGCAGAGCTGCTCTCGGGCGAGTGTGTTTCCCCCGCCCCGCAGACAGCACTGCAGGAAGATGCACTCCCAAAGAGGTCCCCAGCGCAGAGCTGGGTGCGTGCCAGCCCAGACAGGCAGCGCGCTGGCCACCGCTCTCCGGAGACAAGGCGGACGACAGGGCAGAGCACTTGGCAAGAGAGGCGGGCTCTGGCCGCCTCAGTCGTTGGTCCAGGGGAAGAATCTCTCTCCACACCCAGTTCTGGCCTCCAGCAACGAACAATTAGTGGAACTCAACAACTGTCTGCAGGAGACCCACAGATGGCCAGCTGCTCTGGGGCAGGGAGGCAGCAGGAAGCCACAAGTGTCCTCTGGGGTCACAGCATTGTTTCTATCAGGGATGCTGGGGCAGGCACATCACGGTGGCCAGAGCATCTCCCAGCAGGGCTCAGGGGGCCACGGCAGCCTCCAGCAGGACACCACGAAGCCAGCTGGGCCCGGAGTACCTCAGCCTGCCCATCAGGATGCTCCCCGAAGCAAGCTGCCATCCTACAGGGAGAGTGTGGATGGCCTGCCTGGCTGTTTGGAAGGGTGTGGTGTTCCTTGGGCCTCCCTGCTCCAGTCCCCAAAGCAGGTATGTCTCCTCCCGCATAAACCACCTCTGTCCCTCTACCAGCTACCACCTCTCCCAGCGTGAGATCCCCCCCCGATTCCTGCACTGCTGGAGGGGAGATGAGCTCCACACCAGGCAGGCAGGGGAGCCCTACCCTTCTTGTCCTACCTGAGGCACAGGAGCTTTACTGTTCCCCTGCAGACCAGGGCTCGCCCTCACAGATTCCTCGCTGCCCGGCCTCCTCCTGCAAGTCATCCGCTGGCTGTTCAGCTCCAAGATGCGGGTGGTGATGCCTTTGACATGGAGAAGATCATCAAGTGAGTTGAAGCCCTTCAGTTCCTGTGAGAAGAGAAGTCGGATTCGATATGGAGCCAAGAAACCCTGGTATGAGCCTCAAAGCAGGACCAAGGACTCGTGCCCGCCTCCGAAAGGCTCTCTTTCCTGGCAGGTCCAGACCTACCAGCTTGCGTCTCACAACCACCAGCTCCCTTTAGGCCTTCAGAGGGCTGGGGGGCCACAGCAGGGCGGTACCTCTGTACCGCAAGCCCTTGCCACCACTCCCATCAAAGGTGAGGGAAGCCTTCTTCCCAGAACAGCCATTCCCATGTCATCCCTCCCTGCCCTGAGCAACACCTACAATGCCTGCCAGCAATGGCCACAGCACCGGAGCTAGTGCTAACAAGGGGAGCAGCAGCCCAAAAGCAGAGGCTAAAAGCTCAGAACCGGGAACTGTGCCTTCCATCTGACCAGTGCCAAGACTGGGAGCATTCCCCGGCCCACAGAGCCAATCCCCCTTCCCTGCAGCTCCAGGGAATGGGAACAGCCCCCGCCTCCTGCCAGGCGCACACAAACACGTGCATGCAAGGCACCCACTATCCTGCAAACTCCAGGTTGGGTGCTGCCCAGCCCGGCACTCAGAACCACGGGTACCACCCCAAGCCTGCACCCCGTATGGACGCCAAGCAACATCCGCCACAAGCCTAAAGGGCTGAAGCCCAGGAGCGATGGCCTGGCTGTGACCAAGGGGGCAGGGTCCCAGGTGGGGAAAGCATCCACCCTTTCCAGTGAACACAGGCATCAGGGCCAAGACAAGGTTCCGCTCATCCTTTCAAATTCATCATGCATCATTTGAAGGCACTTTTGCCGCTTCTCCCCTACAAACCGCCTTAGCCAAAAGCGCCGCTCTAGTGATAAACCCCATTTCTGTAAAGCCATGCTCACCTGTTCCCATACCAGCAGTCCTTTTGTTAAATGGCTCTTGCTCTTCTGCCTCTGCTGTGTTTACATAAATTTATAGTGGGTGACCCTGCCCCTCTCAGCCTCCTCTTTTCCAGGCCAAAAAAAGTCAAGCTCTTCTAGTCTTGCCTTGTCAAGCCAGCCTCCCTTTTCCCCGATCTCGCCTGCCTTGCTCCTCTGCCTGCTTCAACACGGATACCGCATTCCAGCCACGATCTCACCGGTTCTTCACGGCATTAACAGCAAAAAGGTGGCATTAATCTTCCTGTCTCTGCTGAAAGCGCCACAGCAGACGCAGCCCAAGATCACGCTTACCTTTTTCACGGCTGTGTCACGCCGGTAGCTCAGCCACCCTGCGAGTGACTACCACAGGCAGGCTTTCCTCCTGCTCTGTCATGTCCAAATGACAGAGCTGAACAGTCAATCAAGGGGGAGTGGCAGGGCTTCCAGCCCATCGTGACCACACCAGCCGGGCTTCTACCCCTCCCTGCTCCCGCCCGTTCCACCCAGGAACTCGTTTTTTTCTGCTCTTAGCGTGCAACGTCACCTGCCACCAGCCCCGAGGCTCTGCCCCTGATCCCAGAAACACGGAAACTGCAGAACCAGGCAGGTCTGCCTGCAGAGGGACACGCTCTCCACGGGGAGAGCCTGGACCCAGCCCGCGCCGGGGGCTCCCGGGGCAGGGGGCTCCCGTGGCGAGGAGGCTCCCACCCGGCCCGCAGGCCGCGGCACAGCAAAGGGCTCCCCCAGCCCGTGC